AAAATGGATGAAAGAGAGAAGTAAACTTACCTTATTTGTTGGATAACTCAGCTCCTATCTTGGTTCTTCAAACTCTAGGCTTTACCTTCAATTAGAACTTGAAATAGAGAGAAAATCAATTAGGGTTTGTGGGAAAGTTTTGGGAGAAATTTTGCAGAGCTTATATCTGGTTATTATGCTCTATTTTAAGTTTAATATATGAAGAAAATAGTCCTTTAAAAGGCCTCTTTGGACGACCCGAAATGGCCCATTTTTAGGCTCTCATTTAAGCAAGTAGGTGACACACCTACTTGTCACCTAGCAGCTTGCGCAGTATCGCAACAATGACCATATCTCTCTACTCCGATGNTTTCTTCAATTGCTTTAGCTTCTGAACCGTCCAACCCTCTTTGTACTTGTTGTTCATGATCTTAAATATTTGTAACCTCAGAGGTAACATGATTATCTTACTTTGTAAACTTTTCAAATATGATTTCATTTCTGAGCTTACATCAATTGACTTACGACGTACTCGTACTTTCGAAAACATGGGTTGTAACATTCATGTTGCTCACCCCCAAAGACGGGAGGATTTAGTCTAGTCCATCTATCCAATAACTTATGCGGCTCGACGGCCGCAGTAGGTCTAGGCTCAAGTGTAGCTGCTGCCACTGGCTGGACTCCACCTACGGAGCACCCTGGGTCTGATATACAGTAGCTGCCTGCCCATGAGCCTGCATGGTAGGGGTCAGTGCTCCCCCGCCCGCCTAAGATGTGGCTGGGTCTGCCGGAAATAAACTGGCCTGAGTCATAGTGTACATGAACTGCAGCATACGGCCCATGACCTCCTGAAAACCAGGTGCAGACTTGAAATCCACCGGAGCTGGCTTTGCTACGGGCACCTCGTCCTGTTCCTCAATAATAGGATCCTCTGATGGACCTACTGGTGGCATAACTGGAATAACTCTGGGCCGTCCTCATCCCCTACCACGGGCTGGAGCCCTCCCTCGGCCTCTTCCTCGGCCTCTAACAATAGGGGGAGTAGCCCTTCCCTGGTCTGGAACCTCGTTAGAATGCGTTCTTACCATCTGTGACAGAATACGAGAAAGATATTTAGTACTACATTATTTCAGGATGGGAGATGAAGAAAGGTAGTTTTCCTAACACCCCATAGCCTCTCGAAGATAAGTACAGACATCTCCGTACCGATCCGCAAAACTCTATTAAGCCTGCTCATAACTTGTAATACCTATATGAACCTAGTACTCTAATATCATGTTGTCACGACTCAAACTCACCTATATGTCGTGATGGTGCCCAACATCCCAGCTAGGCAAACCAACTAATGATTTAAACATATATTCATTTCTTTAAAAATTATCCGAATAATCAAACTCCTCGAAAATTCAAAACTTAAGAAGATATGAGAAAATAAGATAAATTCAATCCCAATTAAAATAATTAAATCCACAATTCTACTAGTGTGTGTGCCAAGACCTGGTGTCACAAGTGAATGAGCATCTAGTGGATTATACAAAATTCTAAATATTGTCTGAAATAAAATAGACAGAATACAAATACAAAAGGAGACTTAAGGGTTGCAGAACGACTCAAGAAGCAGCTCACCACTAAGTCTCGGGATATCTGGGGTATGCTCCGGTAGGTCCTCCGATAGTACCTGTCTCAGGTCCTGCACAAGTAACCAGTAAGTATCAAGCCTAATCTCAAAGAAGTAGTGACGAGAGGTTGACTTTGACACTCACTAAGGGTCAATAATATAATAATAGAATATAATTAATTAAACATTATTTTTAGGTGAACAACAATAATTTTATCAACAAGGAAAAATAATTAATTAATTAAATTTCAATAATTTCTAATTTATCAATTAGCTTAACAAGCTGCAATTAAAATATCAAAGTATCGTGTAATTATTATTATTAGGCACGAATTCTGTCAAGGTCGTACGGCCCGATCCAGAGTGTCGTGTACATTACCGAGGGACGTGCGACGCGATCCATAGATGCATCTATACTGCCGAGACGTTCGGCCCGCTCCGCAAGAAAGGAGGATATTTTTATGAACCTCTGGAATGAGAAGTTATTATAATATTAACACGCAGGGTGTTCAATCTCTATTAACAATTCAATAATTTACACAAAATTTTGAGTATATGAAGTTTCGATCTTTTTACTATTTCCTCAAACAATTTGCAATATAATTCCAGTAATTTAATTAAATAAAAGGAGCAATTATCACAAGCAATTCATGATTTGAGTCCTAAACTACCCGGACATTTAATACAATTAGTAGCGACACACGGACGCTCGTCACCTCGTGCGTACGTAGCCCCCACAATTAGCAACAATTATTAATGTGAATCACCTATGGGGTAAATTCCCTCTTACAAGGTTAGGCAAGAGACTTACCTTGTCTCAAAGCCCACTTTCCGATCAAAATGTCGCGTAATAACCTCAATTCGATGCCGAAAAATTCGAAACTGTCCAAAATTTATATAAAATAATTAATACATGTTCAATAAAATTCCTAAAATTCAATAATTAATACATGTTCAATACTCTATCCAAAATGGTAAATATTCCTAAAATTCACCTCGGGCCCACGTGCCCGTATTCTGGAAATATTTGAAGGAAAACATTACCTATAATCTCAAGAACTTAAATATAAAATTTTCATCCAATTCCATAATCATTTTTGCGGTTAAAATCTCATTTATGTCAAAATCTAGGTTTTTCATCTAAACCCTTGATTTTCAAGATTTACAGGTTTTAATCTACCCATAATCTATGTATTTAACTCAAAGTGTGTAGAATTAACTTATCTTCAAGTTGTTTGTTGAAATCCCCTCTCAAAAAGCTCCAAAATCGCCCAAAAATGGAGGAAAAACGGACTAAAATGACTGAGCCTCGCCCCCTTTTTAACATTCTGTCCAACAGTCATTTCCGCACCTACGGAGGCTTAGCCGCACCTGCGGAGAAAGCCTCACAGGTGCGCATTTCTCCATTTGGCCTGGCTTCGCACATGCGGTGAAGTGAGCCGCTTCTGCACGTCCGCAGGTGCGGCCAAGGCGCTCGCACCTGCGCTATTTCCGCTTTTGCGCCTGCTCCTTCGCACCTGCATTACTTGCACCTGCGGCTGGCCAAGCGCAGGTGCGATTCTGATAGCAGCTGGGAGCTTCAGCTTTGGCTCCCAATTTCTAACTTGGTCCGAGCCTCGTCTGATTAACCCCCGAGGCTCCTGGGGCCCCGCCCGAGCATACCAAAAAGTTTAAAATCATAAAACGGATTTGCTCGAACCCTCGGAATGTGTAAAACAACACCAGAACTAAGAATCATACCTCAAACTAAATTGATTCAACTTAGAAATATTCTTCAAACTTACTCCGAACGCGCTGAAACATAGTTAAACTACTCGGAATGATACCAAATTTTGCGTGAAAGTCTTAAATCACCATACGGAGCTTTTTCCAGGCTCGAAATTCTAAACGGATTTCAATTACTCCAAAACCTACTCCAAACCAAATTTAAAGAACATTAAACCTTCAAATAGTTATTTTTTTCACTATTAAGCTCTAAACGCCTCCAGGTTGTCCAAAACTCGATTCGAACATACGTTCAAGTCCAAAATCATCATACGAACCTATTGGAACCGTCAAATCCCGATTCCGAGGTTGTTTTCTCAAAATGTTGACCGAAGTCAAACTTGAGCTTTTAAAACCAAATTAAGGAACTAAGTATTCCGATTTCAACCCGAACACTTTCAAAACCCAAACCAACCATCCCAGCAAGTCATAAATTAGTAAAAGTATATACGGAGAATTTTATTTAGAGGAACGGGGTTCTAAAAGTCAAAATGACCGGTTGGGTCATTACAAAAGACATGAGAATATGGGAGCAAACTTACGAAAATCACTGCTTTTATGTTGTCATTTGTGATTGGAAATTGAAGTTCGGCATTCTCTTTAATTCTTAAGAAAACATCAACCAAATCTTCACCTCCGAACTCACCAATTCCCTTGTTCCCAACTGCTTTATTTTCAATATGCTCATTTAAGATGTCCTCCATAATTTCATCAACCTTCTGATGTGCATTCACCAATCTAGATTTCACACCGCTCATTTTGTGAAGTAACTTCCAAGAAGGAAACAAATCAGCCACATCAAATCCCCCTGCTAATTCGAGTACTTCCTTCATCAATTTCATAAATTCGTGTCGATCTTTGAATACATTACCGAAGGCTGCTCTACCAGTAATAGAGTTGGTAAACTGAAATATTTTTTCTGTTAAGTTGACCTACAGGAAAAGAGGTCTTTAACGACCACTTCTTTACGAAAGAAAATTAATACAGTCGTTATATGTATACTTATAGCGGCCAATATTTATTCCGGTCGTTAAAGTCATTTTTTACTTTATTTATTATGAGGGAACAATTTCTGGTCTTTTAAATTGTGTCAATCCCCTCGTTAAATCTGAATAAAATGAAAAATAAGCGCTTATTATTCCCTCCTTGTTTTCCTCAACCAACTGTCCGCCCATATCCCCCAAATTAATCAAAAAACCCTACAATCTCTCACTCTAATGTTATCCCAAAACACGTACACCAAATTCAGCAAAGAAGAGGCNGTACGTAGCTTATAATTTGTGTGCTTTGTGGTGAATCTGTGTCAACGCTAATAGTTGGATTCCGTTCTCCTTTTCGTCAGAGGCGGATCTAGAATTTAAATTTTATGGGTTCAACTTTTAAAGTTATGAGTTCATATCTATTTTTTTACAATTTTAATAAATTTTTACACATAAATTTTTACTCAGTGTCAAAAGTTATGGGTTCAATTGAACCCGGTAGTAATATACTACATCCGCCCCTGCTTCTCGTCAAGGTAAACTCAAGTCGCTAAATTTGTAGTTGTAATTATTGTGAAATTGGGTCTTTTTGTTATCTCTCTGCTATTCAAATATTGGTTTTCTTCTTAGAATTACATGTATATTTTTCAGATATATAGTTACATCGACGCCTTTCAGATTTATATGATCATTGTTCTATTTCCAGTATATTTCTTGCAATTTTTCAATGCACAGAACCAACTGTTTTCCATCAAAGTTGTTGTTTTCCTCATCTTCTGCTTTCTCTGCTATTTTATGCTTCTTATTTCAATGCACGATAGGTAAACTTTTCGGATTCTTAATCTGTTATACTTTTGCGAGAGAGGTCCTATACACGTTGCAGCTAGAAATTCTTATAAGGGGATTCAGAATTTACACATAATTCAAACTTTTATATATGTACAAAAAATTTATCTCCTATTTGCACAGTATAATTTTTCGGCATAGCGAATTCAATTGAATCATTTGATTACATGTGGCTCTGCATTGCCTGTATGAAGAAGGAGTAAAATCATATTTGTTTTAGAACTCTATATAGTAGATGCTAAACTTACTAATTGACAAAATAATACTGGCTTGGATAAAATGCTAAAGAAGTGCAGTAATAAAAAAAACGTAGTGATGCTAAAGAAATGCAACATGAATTTCGTTAGAAGATAAGAAGATATCTACTTAGTTTATTTTTGGGTATACTTTCTTATTGGGGGCACTGCTTTGATCGATGAAACTGATGTATTTTGAGTAAGCACTTTGTCCAATAGAGACTTTTTGAGGTTTGAGGTTTGTTTGTGTGCTGAATTGTCACGACCCAAAATCCTAATCTGTTGTGATGGCGCCTATCTCAGTACTAGGCAAGCCGACAACATCAATAACCCATGATTTCCTTTAAATTTAGAAGGAAAAAAAACGTAATATTTAATACAATACCAAAAATCTAGCAATTTCCGATACAGCACTCCCAAAACCTGATATCACCGAGTAAATGAGCATCTAATATGAGTATAAGTATGAAAAATACGGTCTATAATAGTCTGAGACCAAATATAGTAAATAAGGAGTTGATTTTCAAAATCTCCTAAAAATCAACTGCGCGAAATAATTAACATCCGCTATGTTCAGGAACACCTGGATCTGCACACGAAGTGTAGGGTATAGTATGAGTACAACCAACTCAGCAAGTAACAATAATAACTAAGGAACTAAAGATAATGACGAGCTACACAGTCATAGTTCACTTTCAGTAGTTCTAGCAAAGAATAGACATGCTTTCAAATCCGTCAGTTTAAGTCAAATCAATTTTTATACAGTTCAATTTCAAGTAATCCGAATATAAATTCTTTCAGAGATTTTACAACAATGACAGATAGCAACCAAGTGCAACAACAAATGCAAAGCAAGTATAACCTCTTAGGCAACAATCACTCAACTTATCACAACAGCTCAACCACTCGGCTCCCAGCCCTCAGCACTCACATTCAATGGATACCCGCGCTCACTGGGGGTGTGTACAGACTCCGGAGGGGCTCCTACAGCCCAAGCGCCATAATCTGCACGGACAACTCACGTGCTATAATATCCTGCACGGACAACTCAAGTGATATAATATCATGCACGGACAACTCACGTGCCATAATATCCTTATCTCACTGACAGGCCCTCGGCCTTACTCAGTCCTCAACCTCTCAAGTCTCTCGGGCTCTCAGAAATCACAAATATCAGCCCAAACAAAGATAACATAGTATATCAATAAATATCCAGAAAGCCTGAGGTATAATACGCAAGAAAAATCATGATTGAGTACACGACATCAATTAGCAAATAATTCAACAAGTACGCGACCTCTACGGGTCTCAACAGTACTATAACATAGCCTAAGCATGATTTATAGTCAAATGTCTTCAACACATAGAGGTCATATAGCTAACAATAAATTATTTATATTTACAGTTTTCCGAGACGGACCAAGTCAAAATCCCCTCGGTGCACGCCCACACGTCCGTCACTTAGCATGTGTGCCACCTCCAAAATAATCACATGATATCAAAATCCGGGATTTCATACCCTCGGGAGCAGATTTATAATTGTTACTTACCTCAACCCGTATAATTATTTATTCCGCTATGCCCTTGCCACGAAAATTGGTCTCCAAAAGCCTCGTATCTAGCCATAATTAATTCGATTCAGTCAATACAAATTATTGTAATTAATTCCATAAGGAAATACTAATGTTTTCCAATAAAATCCGAAATTAACTCAAAAATCGCTCGTAGGGCCCATGTCTCGGAACCCGACAAAAGTTACAGAATATGAACGCCCATCCAACCACAAGTCCAACCATATAAGTTTCACCAAAATCCAATATTAACTCGACGCTCAAATCTTCAATTAAAGTTTATGAAGATTTCTACCATTTTCAATCCAATCCTTACCCATTTTAACTTAACAATCCTTCCACAACCTTATTGGTATGTATACATAATACTCTTACACCCAAGAATCATACTATTAATCACGCATCTTTACTCCAAACCCGAAATTGAAGAATTGAGGAAAGAAATTCCTACCTCTTTGAAGCCCTAGCAAGATCCTGGTGAAATCTTCAAACCTTGAACAAGAATTGATGGATAAATGACTAAGTCTTTACTTTCTCTCTCTAAAATGCTTTCACCTCTCTCTAAAATATCAGATTTTGGCTAAAAAATGAGCTTCATGGGCTATAAATCGAAGTTAGGTCGGGTCAAAAATTAGAAAGAATGGAAGTTTCGACGCAGTTATGCAGTCGCATATGCGATCGCATAACAGGTATGCGGACTGCATACCGACCGCATAATTTGGCCTTCAAAGCTGGGCGTTACTAACTCAGTATGCGGTCATTATGCGGTCCGCATACTTGTTCTGCAGTCGCATAATGCACCACAAAACAGGTTTGCGGTCGCATAGTGGACTATAGATTTTTCTCAAACCTTGCCCCTCACCTGATCTACTTTGTGACCATTATGCGGTCCCCAGAGTGATTCTGTTACCTCATAATGGTCGCAGAAATGACTCTTTTCCGACAAAATTTTCTTTTACATATCGGTGCATTGTTCAACCCAAAAAGTCTGAGCCGCGAGAAATTTCTATAACCTTTGTGCTAATTGATCTACCTCGGCACCACCAAACCTTAATTTTCTTAGCAAAATTTCTCCGGGTCACTACACATATATCAACATCCGGTCAACCTTTTCAATTAAATTTCTAACATGAAAATTTATTCTTCCAAGCTAACTCCGACTTACCTTAAAAATTAAAACCGACAATTCACACAAGTTATAATACCTCGTAGAAAGTTATTCAAGACTTTAAATAGTTGAAAGGAGCGTGAATGCTCAAAACGATCGGTCGAGTCGTTACATGAATAGAAAAGACATTTCATTAAAGAGACGGGCCAAAACTTATCTTGTTTATGAAGAGTCCTCTCGAAACTGATACAGCAGGCTGGGGAAAAATTTCAGTTAATAAAAATGAACATTGATCTTCCTATTGTATACAGAAACTTAGTTTAGAAGTGCAAAGGTTGTGATGAATTAACGCCAAAATCATAGCGCATATTGCTCCCCAGTAGTGTCTCTTGCACTAATTACTTGCTTTTCTTCACTCCATATAGACCAATCCTAGAACATTCAGATAACTTGTAAAAGGAGATGGTCATCATTGAACGTAGTAATTCTAAGAATGGAGGAGAAGAAGAGACTCCGAGCCTGTCAATATCTTTTATTTCCTTACTATATAGAGTTTAAAATTACTTTTTATATGACTTACCATCACTAATCACAATAATAAGTAGTAATTATATATCCTTCAAGATTGCTTGAATCAATGTTACCCACGTAGTTCTGTTACTATTTCCATTTTCAATGCTCATATACGTTGCACATGAAAAGAAGTTTAGTAGCTTATAAATTTATTATGGTNTGAATAAATGTTTACTTCTAGATAATACATATATTTTAATCATATATACATATTTATTACACATGCACCAGATTATGGCACCTGATAAGAAATGGATGAAACTTGTCCATGACCAACTTGGTAATACTTACAAGCTTGGGGTGGATAACTTTTTGGATTTTGCTTTTACAAGATTAAGTGATGCGCGTGTAATACGTTGTCCATGTATCAAATGTTGTAACACATCTTCGGGAACACATGAGATGGTTAAGTCACATTTAATAGTACATGGAATAATTCAAAATTATACTTTTTGGTATCACCACGGAAAAAGCTAGGTGAGCCACAATCAACTCCAGAAGATGTAGAAGATGATGACATTGAAGAAC